GCTGGAGCAGAGGGCGTGCCCACAGGAGGGCCCTGCGGGTGGTGCTGGTGCCCCTGGCCTCAGGCCCGGGCCAGGCCTTGTTGCCTGGTGTCCCGGAGGTGAGCGGAACAGCAGTTTCCTGCTGCTGCAACAGAGGCAGCATGTCATAGAGTTACTAAGGGTCGGGATTTGGGCAGAATGCATTTCATTTCAGGAGGCACGAGTGATTAAACCTCGCCCCCACCCTGAACCTGATCCTGTCTAGCGAGGAAGTGACCGTGTTCCCCTGGAGTGAAAATGAATTCTGCGTTCTGTCCCTGTGCTTTCAGGTGGGCCCAGAGCTGTGCTGCTGCTAACACGTCCGCGTCTGCAGACAGAAGTGGCTTGAGAACAGGTGCGTTTATTAGATTCTGAAGCTGTGACCTCGGCAGAGAGCGTGGGCGCTCCCTGGAGCCCGGCAAGCTGGTCCCACAGCCCCGGGGAGAAGGTCAGTGAGGTAGGGCGTGTCCGTCTTCAAACACAAGGGCCTGACTTCAGCCTGGTCATGGGGGGCGGGGTGTGAGCAGGGGAAGGTGGCATTTCGCTGTCATGGGTTCCTCACTAGGTGTTGCACCGTATGCTACATGCTTCCGCATGTCAGCTGACTTCCTCTTTCCCACAGACCCATCCTGGAGCAAGATTCCCGTCCCAGATGTGAGCTGGGCGCGCAGACTAAAGAGAAGGCGGGGACCGTGCCCACTGGCAGAGGTCAGACCGGGATGGCCTCACTCCGGCCGCCACATCAGGTCAGTCCTGTCAACCACAATCCACCGAGTGCCCTGGTGACGGCTTCCGTCGTCTCCCCTTGCCTCCCCCCTGTGTGCTAGGCAGGCTGTTGGCAGGGGGAGGAGGAAGAATGGCGAAGCCAGTCCCTGCCCTGGGCAATGAGCCTTTTCTCGGGGAGAGGGATCTGACACCCCTGAATGCCGTGGAGAGCGCCTCGAGAGCCCCTGTGAGGCTTGGGGGGCAGGAGAAAAGCGGGGTGAGAAGGACCAGGGTTGGGTGAGGTGGCATGGTGCTTCCTGAGGGTGGTGCTACCGGCCCACCATTCTACATGAGGGCGCACAGAGAAGGGGCCAGCAGGGGTAACGGGGAGTTGGCGGACACCCCTATCTCCCCACCTAAAGGCCTTGTCCTCACGCCCATGTGTGGGATACAGCAGGAGACCTGGGACCACCTGTGAGACGGGGTACAGTCTCAAGTTACAGACTAGGGGCCCGAATCCAGTGATGTGCACACACGTCCAGCGTGTCAAGTTCCAGGCCAGACACAGAGGCGCCAGGGGGCAGGGAAATATTGGGAGAGAGTGGGGGTAGCATAACCATGAGTCAGTGTTTTCCAAATGCCAGAAATGGTCCCTCTAGAGACAGAGATTAGCTGGCCGCTGGCCTGGGCCCGGAGGTGGTCGTGGAGATGGACTGCGAACAGCAACACGGGGTCTCTTTGGGGCGATAGAAAGGTTCTCAAACTGGAGTGTGGTGACGGTGGCAGAACCCTTTAAATTTCCTACCAGTCCCTGCTGTGCACACTGACTGCACGTTACACCTCGGTACGGGTAATTGCGAAATGCACTGCGAATGCCCCAGCCATGGAGGCCAGGCTGTGCCATCGCTTTCATGACACCAAGGACCCCCTGCCTCTTCTGTGTTCTGTGTTCTGGGTCCACCATCCCTGCCTCCTGCAGGTCCTCCATGCTCCACCAGACGGAGGCACTGTGCAAAGGCCAGGAGGAGAGCTGGTGAGTGTGCGGGCCGCCTGTCTGCCTGTATGTCCCTGAGTGTTCCTGCGCAGGCGCCCTTCAGGTGGACATAATGGTCGACTCGCAATTCCACCGCCCAGGGCCGGCTCCCATAATCCACCCCGCGTCTGCAATTCCACTTCGGGTTGCCTGTTCTTCATGCCTCCCACAGACCCAGCTACAGTTTCCCTGGCAACCAAGCCGGGCCCTTAGCTTCAGCCTCTAATCACAGGAAGGTACACCGAGTGGGGAGGGGTGTTGTCCCCGTCACAGAGCGCCCTCCCCAGCTCGGGACCCGGTGGGGATGCCCAGCAGAGCCGTAACCATGACGACAGAATGCAGCTGCCTTTCCAGCAGCCAGGCCTTCCCCCTCCTCTCCGCCTGCCTGGTGTCAGGCAGCCAAGGGCAGGTGTGGCACAAACACACTCCTCAGTCCCAGCAATTGTTCTGAGTGTGAGTCTAGGGTAAAGGAAGTCTGCCATCGACAGCTCTCAAAAGGCAAGACACATCACAGCGGATTAGCAAACCTGGCTGTAAGTCCAGGATAGTATTTGAAAGCAGTACAGGTGTGGCACTGGGGTGCTTAGGCTTCCCCACCGCAGGGTGCCTCCACTGCCCGGGAGCCTCTTTAAAAGAGCGGGTCCTGGGCACCCCTCCCCCCGCCCAGAGGCTGAGTGTAGGTCTGGATGTGGCCCCTGCAGGAGCCTCATTGAGTCCTCCTCCCGTGAGAGCCTGGATTGCTGCCTTCCCTTGTGCTTAGGCACTGTAAAAGGTTGTGAGACTGTGTACAGAGGCCGCCATGGGGCGGAGCACAGGACTTCTGTGGGAAGTACAGCGAGCTGAGATTTTACCCGTCCATGCGCAGGACCAGCTGTCAGGCTTCTCCGTG